AGCTCCAGCCAGAGGGGACTGGGACAGGCAGCTCTGGGTGGAGCAGCCTGGGAGAAAAAAAGGAAGGAAGGAAGGAAGGAAGGAAGGCAGGCGAGAGTAAGCTCCATGTATGGCAGAAGACCCAGGTTAGGGACTAGATTTGGGGGGACTCTGTGGATTATTTGAACCTCTTCCATTTGTAAAGCAGCCCCGGCTGGGGGTGCTGTTAGCCACAAGGATAGTGCGTGTAATTCTTAAGGGGCCTACTGAGGCAGAGTGCCTGCAAAATGACCCTTGGCCACAAGGGGGTGCTCAGTGAGCACCCGCCCTGCCACACTATTTATCTCTCAGTCAGGCAATGCGCTGAATGATCCCCAGTGGGTCTGAGTCCCTTATAGAGATTACATGATGGAGCATATTTGATCCCTGGGTGCAGATCTCTTCCCCTGCAGCTCACTGTTACCAGGTTGTCTAAGCGGGTGAGTGGTGTGTCACAATCTGTTTGCTGAAGACTTTTCTCTGTAGCAATGTGTGAGGCAGTGCCCAGAGATTCTCCCAGGCACACACTCATTGAGCATGTGCAGACACCCACACACTGTCAGCTGTGCACAGGCTACGTGTGCACACACACAGAGGCTCTCCCAGGCACACACTCATTGCCAGGGGGCGAGAGTTAGCACATGGCAAACCCTCCAGTCACATTGGGGGAGCCCCCTGGAATGGTCCTGCACACACTGTCCAGCAAACATCTTGGCCTGGGTTCCCAACCTGAGCAAGGGATGGATAGAGCAGCTCCAATAGCCTGGGTGTGGAGCGGGGAGGCTCCAGCCCTGCTGCTTCAGCTGGTGTTCTGGAAGGCCTGGTACAGTGGGAGAGGCCTGAGAGCCCTGCCAGGAGGGGTGAGTAGGTATGGTCTGCTGCGTGAGCTATACTCTCCTCTCGCCTCCCATGCTGGGCTGCAGCACCAGGGACTAGTATCAAAGCAGATCTGTTATCGTGTCATCTGTTATCGTGTCATCCCCATTAGTGCTTTCAGCTGTGCCAGCACTCAGCCTGGCTTGGCATATGCTGGCTGCCGCAGGCAGAGGCAGTGCATCATGGGCACGTCCTGACTTCTAACAGCGCACGTGCCACACTCACACCAGAGCTCACACACAGAGGTTCTCCCAGGTGCACACTCATTGGGCACACACATGCACACACACTGCCAACTGCATGCAGTCTACACACACAGAGACAGACTCTTCCAGGCACACACTCATCACACGAACACACACAATGCCGGCTGCACACAGGGTACATGTGCACACACACAGAGGTTCTCCCAGGCAGGCATACACTCATTGGGCATGCACGCACACATATGTACACACTGCCGGCTTCACCCAGGCTACACACTCACAGGGCTCTCCCAGGTACACATTCATCCTACACACACACACACACACACACACACACACACACACACACACAGAGCCGGCTGCACACAGGTTACGTGTGCACACACACAGAGGTTCTCCCAGGCACACACGCATTGGGCATGCATGCATGCACACATTGCCGGCTGTGCGCAGGCTACATGTGCAGATACACAGGGGGTCTCACAGGCACACACTTATTGTGCACACACACACCCCCACACACAGACACTGCCCGCTGCACACAGGCTACGTGTGCACACACACAGAGGCTCTCCCAGGCACAGACTCATTGGGCAAGCACGCACACACTGCCAGCTGTGCACAGGTTACGTGTGCACAAACACAGAGGTTCTCCCAGGCACACATGCATCGCACACATTCTGCCTCCCATCCAGTCCCATAGAAACACACCCACACAAGTTACATGCTTAATCTTCACCTACTCTTCTCAGGAGATGAAAATCCCAGCTTTCTTAGCTTCTGCCTGCTCTCCTCACATCCAGTGTGCAATTTACCAGCTCAGTGTGACACCAGCTAGAGCTACTGAGAAGGACACAGCTCCCCAAGTTTGTTCTGAACTCTCAGACTCTCCTATACTCCCCTCCCCCCCCACACACACACACCTTTCTGAACTGCCCAAAGGCACCTGGGACTGACAACATCAGCAGCTGACTGAGGTCAGGAATTCCCTGATGCTTGTCACTCACTTCTGTCCTGCTGGCTGTCTCAGTTAGAGTTCTGTGGCATGTGTTAGATCTCTGCTGAAAATCCAAGCTTTGGTGTGAGGGGCATATATTTAGACTAGATCACCTGCGGGTAAAAAATGTTCAAACCAGATTTCATTTTTCATTGTGGCTTATACAACATGAAACATGAATATAAAACTTCTTTCCTCACTTGCAAACAGTCTTTTCCTTCAGTGACTGTGGTCTAGTGGCTAAAGTAGGGAGATGGGCTGCTGGGTTCTGTTATCACTCTGTGACCTTGGGCATAGAAACATATATATTGCTCAACTGGATTAGCCACAAAGTCAATCTAGTCTAGGATCCTGTCTCTCATAGGGACCAGTGCCGGATTCTTCAGAGGAAGGTGTAGGAACAGATGTGGAATAATCAGCAGTAGCAGATGAGGAATAATCAGCAGTAGCAGATGTGGAATAATCAGCTCCATTCAGTAGGTCTTATCCTGCTCTCTAATAGTAAGAGATGGGCTTAAGCCCTGAAGCGTGAGGTTTAATATCCCTTCCAACATTTATGTTGTCATTAATTATGGTAATGATGGCTATCAAGAATAGCCAGATAAATACCCAACCCCAGTTTGAGTCATAGAATCATAGACTATTAGGGTTGGAAGAGACCTCAGGAGGTTATCTAGTCCAATCCCCTGCTCAAAGCAGGACCAACACCCACACAATCATCCCAGCCAGGGCTTTGTCAAGCCAGGCCTTAAAAACCTCTAAGGATGGAGATTCCACCACCTCCCAAGGTAACTCATTCCAGTGCTTCACCACCCTCCTAGTGAAATAGTGTTTCCTAATATCCAACCTAGACCTCCCACACTGCAACTTGAGACCATTGCTTCTTGTTCTGTCATCTGCCACCACTGAGAACAGCTGAGCTCCATCCTCTTTGGAATCCCCCTTCAGGTAATTGAAGGCTGCTATGAAACCCCCCCCCCTGCCCCCCACTCTTCTCTTCTGCAGACTAAATAAGCCCAGTTCTCTCAGCCTCTCCTTGTAAGTCATTTGCCCCAGCCTCATGATCATTTTCGTTGCCCTTCGCTGGACTCTCTCCAATTTGTCCACATCCCATCTGTAGTGGGGAGACCAAAAGTGGGTGCAATACTCCAGGTGTGGCCTCACCAGTGCTGAATAGAAGGGAATAATCACTGCACTCAATCTGCTGGCAATGCTCCTACTAATACAGTCCAATATGCCATTGGCCTTCTTGGCAACAAGGGCACACTGTTGACTCATATCCAGCTTCTCGTCCACCGTAATCCCCAGGTCCTTTTCTGCAGAACTGCTGCTTGGCCATTCGGTCCCTAGTCTGTAGCAGTGCATGGGATTCTTCCTTCCCAAGTGCAGAACTCTGCACTTGTCCTTGTTGAACCTCATCAGATTTCTTTTGGCTCAGTCCTCCAATTAGTCTAGGTCACTCTGGACCCTATCCCTACCCTCCATTGTATCTACCTCTCCCTCCAGTTTAGTGTCATCTGTGAACTTGCTGAGGGTGCAATTAATCCCATCATCCAGATCATTAATAAAGATGTGGAACAAAACTGGCCCCAGGACTGACCCCTGGGGCACTCTGCTTGATACCAGCTGCCAACTAGATCTTATTAAGCTCTTGGTCTTAACAACTTACAGTGGCAGTGAGTTCCACAATCTGGTTACACTTTGTATGAAAAAGTATTTCCTTGTATCATGGGAACAGTTCACTTAGCCTCTGCAGACCTGAGGCAGTGTGGTCTAGTAGATGGAACATGGGCCTATGAGTCAGGAGACCTGAGTTCTATTCCCAGGTCTGCCCCAAGCCTGTTGGCTGGTCTTGGGCAAGTCACATTCCTGCTCCATGCCTCAGTTTCCTCATCTGTTAAGTGGGGATAGTGAGACTGACCTGTTCTGTAAAGCACTTTGAGATCTACTGATGAAAACTGCTATGTAATAAACACATGATTAATTGTGTGCTCCTGCTAAACTCTAGGCATATGCTTAAATCCATCTCCAGACTTGACTTCTGTGGCACATACGTACAAAGGTGCTTTGCTGACTTGGGGAAATCAGGTACTGTGCAGTATGGTACAATGATGAACAAATAAAGAGTAGTGAACAATTGCTATTGCCAAAATCCTGTGCTCCTTGGAACAGCTAGCTCTTTAGGAGTGTTCCTCAATGCAATATTTCTCAAACCTTTCCTCAAGGCACTGTTACTGAAATCAGGTCATCTGCAGTCGAGAGCAGCCATGATCTCAAAGGTATTTTGGGCTCTCATGTCCAAGTGCAGCATCAGTCGCACATCCATATGCCCTCTCCTTCTTAAGAGCCTGTGGAATGCCATTAAGGGAGCATTGCAGTTCACCTTCAAACACTGCAATAAGTAGAGTGTGTTTTCAAAGTAATGGTTAGCAGGAGTTGATTTACTGCTTGCCTGGGAACTCAGAACCTGAATGAGCCCTGCATCGCAGTACAGAGCTTTTGTGCCTATAGGTCAGGCTATGACAGAGGGGCTATCTCAGAAGAGCAACTGATTCTCACAGCTTGCTGTAATAACCCTCAACATGGGTCATTGCTTGAACATGGGACCTTTAGTACACAGGCATTTACTAACGTAAACTAATGGAATAACTCTGTTAGTTAGCAGTAGTAGTAAGGCTGTTATCCTCTATGTGGCCCTGCCACTAGAGTAGGATGCAACACTTCCTTTACAAACATGCTTGTATTGGGGTGCCTGCCCCAGACTGTGCTTTAAGGGGTTAATAGAGCCCTTGAGAGGCTGCAGAGGAAGCAGCCAATCAGAGATTGGCCATGAGGAGCAGTCAATCAGGGCCGGGCATGCCCCTACAGAGCAGCTTCAGTCATTCCCTGGAGTGTGAGGAAGGAGGAGGACTGGCTGCCTTGCAGGCTGAAGACAGCAAGCACTTCAGACAGAGCAGTGCTGCAGGCAGAGACCCAGGGAGCTAACGGCAGCTCCTGGCAAACTGCAGGGATCTGCAGGCTAGAGCAAAGAGGGTTCTGGGGAACACGGAGAAGTGACCCAGGGAAAGGTACTCAAAGAGGTTGGAGGGGATGCAGTGCGTGGCTGCCATCTACAGTATCTCTGGGCCAGGATCCAGAGCAGGCCGGTTCCACGTTCCCTCCCCCCCCCCGCCTTGCCATTGAGGAAGTGGCCAGACAATTGGCTACAGAAGCCACTGAGGGAAGTGGCTGGACAGTGGACTGTGATACTGTCCCTTGAAGTGGGGAGCACAGAGTGCAGCACAGACAGAGGGCTGTGTCACGAAGAGGACGCCGGGGTCCTGGGAGAGACCTGGGTGCAGAAGTGACGGTGGCGAGACACCACCAGAAGAGGGCACACTGGCTAGCAGAGCTGATCCTCATGACATCCAGCAGGGGATGCCGCAGTGGTGAGTCGCACCCTGTCACAATGCTATACTTGTATGATAGATATAGTACTGTCATCACCATACATACACCTCCTGCCGTATCATCACCATACGTACACCTTTTTCCCTCCCTATCTATCTGGATAGCTATGAGGGGCAGACACAACACACACTTCACAAATATGTTGCACTTGTATCTCATGCACCCATTTAGAGCTGTGCAGAGTGAGTTTAAAATGTTCCTAGAATCTTCCCTCACTTGCACAAGCAATGGCCTTTCGCACCCATTTTGCCCACAGGTGTAAATGATCACCCGGACTGGCCTGGAGGAGGAGGCCCATGAATGCCAGCTACCCAAGCCATGTGCACAACTGGCTGTTTTCCCTTTGTTTCATTCCAGTGTGCACTGGAGTCAGCTGCATACACAGCACTCACATGATGCAAACTAATGTAAGTTGTGTTCACAGCTGCTCATACTTCATTTGCCACTAAAGGTCATTACCAGCTATAGGTAAAGGCTATTACCAGCAGGAGAGTGAGTTTGGGGGGGGGGGGAGGGGAGGGTGAGAAAACCTGGATTTGTGCTGGAAATGGCCCAACTTGATGATCACTTTAGATAAGCTATTACCAGCAGGAGAGTGGGGTGGGAGGAGGTATTGTTTCATGGTCTCTGTGTATATAATGTCTTCTGCAGTTTCCACAGTATGCATCCGATGAAGTGAGCTGTAGCTCACGAAAGCTCATGCTCAAATAAATTGGTTAGTCTCTAAGGTGCCACAAGTACTCCTTTTCTTTTTGCGAATACAGACTAACACGGCTGTTACTCTGAAACCTGTTTATAAAGGTCATTAATATTCCTTCCGAAAGTGGGGCATCAAACCCACAGCCTGCTACTGAAAGTGATCCATGTCTCTGCACTTTAACAGAGTGCAGAGACATTAAATGTTGCTTTTATTCCAACAAGCTTGTCTTACACTAAAATTCTTAAATGCATAAGACACTAATTTTGCATGTGTGATGGGAAGATATTGCCATTCTAGAGCCTAAACACATACACATGCTATGGATCCTTCTAGTCACACTTCAGCTCTGGCTATCGATTTCAACTGCCTCCAAGTTCAAGGGAGTTCGGTTCTGGTTCCAATCCATTTTATAGAGATGGGCCCTCACAGTGACATCTGGAACTCAGAAGCATGAGTTAGATCAACGATGATGTTCTGTCTTCCATCCACTGTGCCAGAACCACAGGTACGCTCTGGATACAACTTACCTGTGGGCTGGAAGCTCACATTACTGCAATAGAGACTCTCACTGGGACCCTTGTGGAGATCAGGCAGCCACTGCTACACCTGCTGAGCCAAGACGAAATCTTCCGCCAGCCCTGCCAGTTTGAGCTGAGCTTGTCCCTGGTGGGCATTGCCCATGATGTGGTGACAACAGGACAGCTCCACTGACAGAACAGGTGGACGAAACACAGACAACATTGTTTTTCTGTAGGTCCTACCAGATGCCCTTTCACTCTGGGTTGGAGCCCTGTCAGCTCTCCCAGTTCGGAAGCAGGCTTGCCTCATTTGAAACATTGTCCTCTGGCTTCAAGCTCCACCTCAGAATCAAGGTGGTGCAGCGCTGTACCACCCCAGAGGCAGCCCCCTCATCCTCACCTACCTTAGCTCCCCCTGTCCCCAGGAACAAAGCCAGCATCCACCAATACTGCAGAGATTGAAAAGCCTCTGAACATTGAAAGAGATGTCAGTCCCAATCCAGCTGAGCATCTGTCCCCATCCATTCTCCAAGGGAGCGATAAACACGATGGATGGAATGAATCACGGAGAAAATAGAGGGATAAATCATGGTGACAAACAGGGTTTTTGTATTCATTTAGAGTATCTACCTTATACAAAGCAATGCCTTTTTTTGAGGGGGAAGACCAGAAATAAAATTGTAATCACTGATGCGCCTCATCCTTGGCATTATCAGTGTTTAGCATTTATGCTGCAGTATGGCCACACACACACAACACCATGTGGTTCCTTGCCCAAGTATTGTGGAAGATGCAAAAATCCATCTCCTCTGACCTTGCACAGCCTATACAAGAGCCATGATCACCATAACTGCACCCTGGGCATGCCCTGAAAGTGGCTGGATGGCAGGCAAAGCCGTGGCCCTGCGCTCTTCCACAACAGCCTGTGGATTGGCCCGGTGCTTCAGAGAGGGAGTACGCTGCAGCATCCCAGGTGATAGCATGCACACACCATCTGCCCTCCCTGGAGATTGGAGGGCAGCGGGGGCGGAGGGTGGGGGGGAGAGATTATGGCTCCTGATATACAATCATCCTTCTCAGACCTCCCCGTGGGCTGTGCGTGAATGCCACAATCCAAATTTTTAGTGTGCTTATTATGTACGGGTGGGTGGGTGTGGCTGCATGCACAGGTGTGTAATAGCTATACACAAGTGTATGACTAGATCAGATGAGAGATGATTGGAAAATGGATTATTTTCCCCACTGAATATTTCAATTTTTCAGGAAAAATTCCAAAACGGAAATATTTCGGAGCAAAACTGAAGTCATTTGAGGCTGAAATGTTGCCACAGTGCCTCATGGGAGTTGTAGTTCATGTAACTCATCCTTGCTTCCTTCTCTGTTGACTGGGCTCCCTGCTCAGATTACATGTCCCATGATGCAGCACCATCTTCTATATTGGTGAAGGAAGGCAGTGCATCATGGCAGTCCCTGGCCATGGTGCCTCATGGGATCTGCCATTTGGGTCTCTCATGCTCCTGTTCTCCTGTATGGAGTGTGTTCCCTAGCTGGAGAACAGGAGCATTAGAGACCCAAGTGGCAGCTCCCGGGAGGCACCATGGAGCATTTCTGAGTAGAAATGTTTTGATTTTGGGGTGGTCAGTTTTTCGACAAAAAACCTGAAATTTTCTGAGGAAAGCAAATGCTTTCGAGAAAGTTGAGGAAAAACATTCAATGAGCCCTAGTAGAGATATATGTGTTACATATAGATATCAATCAGCATAAAAAACAGGACATCAATCCCACTGAATCCTAAATTCTCTCTCTCCTTCCTTGCCAGGAGTGTGGTAATGAAGATGGGTTGGTCTTGCCCTTCTCACCCTACATCCTTTATCTCCGGACATGTCTAAGTTATAGATACTGAACATATCGTTGGTAGCATTGTTATTGGAAAAGAGGTGAACAACTTTCTATTATTCCTGGGGCCCATCTGTCAAAGAAGGAACAAAACATGTTTGCAAACCAAAGACTAAAATGCAAGATCAGGATTTATTTAGAAAATAAAACCCATAATTCATTCTGTTTTTTCCTCCCCTCCTATGGTCTGTTTATCTAATGCGTTGATATCTATTCAGCTATCTGTCTTCTGTTTATATGTCTGTCTGTATTAGCTCTTTATGTATCGGGCTAATACAAAAAGGAAAAGACAGACATATAAACAGAAGACAGATAGATGAATAGATATCAGTGCATTAGATAAACAGACCATAGGAGGGGAGATAAAAACAGAATGAATTATGAGTTTTATTTCCTTAATAAATCCTGATCTTACATTTCAGTCTTTGGTTTGCACAGACGTGATTTATTTTCTTTTTCTTTCACCTTGCCCTCTGTCCCCTGAATATACTCTTTTATATAATGCACCATTAGCCAGTGGAACTCACTGTCACAGGATGAGATGGGGGGGAAGAGTATAGGGACTTTAAAAGGATTTATAGAGATGTTTAAATATATTACTTACACACAAGTCAAGCTCTCAAAAGTTAGGAAGTGCCAGTATTAAGGTTGCTTGCTTAACCTTAATTTGGCCTCCCTTGTGTGTATGTATTATGATATGGTCTTTAATTACACAATCACATGGGTTTTTTTTCCCATGGGACTCCTGCCTCATTCAGTGTGAGTAGCGTATCGTCTTGGAGAAATGTTGCATTTCTGTTAGTTTTGTGCTATTGTTTCTCTAGGGGAGCTGTGGCAAACATCAAACCAGTTTTCTCTCTGCTTGAATCTCTCTAAAGAGAGCCAATTCTTGAGGCAGAGTTGCTTCTTGGGAACTGGTATTTAGTGTCAGAAAAAGGTTTGCTGTTTGTGACCCCCTCAGTTCCAGGTCTGGTGAATGTAGTGTAAATAAAACGAATGGGACTAAAAAAAACACCAAGCTTCCATGTCACTTATTTCTCCTCCCACTAAAGCTGGCCTGCAAGGCTGTGACATTTGTTACCTCTTGGTAGAGGGGTGATGTTAGAAAACAGTAAACAAAAACTAAAAACCAATGAAAAACAACAAACATTTTTGCTGAAAAACGCAAAATGTTGAGAAAATCAAAATGTTTTTGCAAACCTTTCTGTTTTTGACAAATGGTCCCATGCAAATCTGTTTGGCTTCCAGTGTTGCCCCTCTCAGCCTCAGCAAGTGAGTTTTGCTACCGCTAAGCTGTGTGCCAGCTCCCTGACATACCAGCCTGTCTGCCTTGCCAGCAAACTCTTCTGGATTCTGCCAGTCCAGACCTTGCCTTGCAGTGAACCCCAACTCCTGAGTTCCCCAGAGACATCTCCAATGCAGGGTCCAGCCCTCTCCTGGAACACTCCCAGACGTTATTCAGTTTGTCGTGCCTTTAAAGAGCCAATACACTGCAGCCCGTTAGTGTAAGTAGGGCTAATGCACTCTTCCCTTCCATCAGTGCACTGAATTGGTTAATAAAAATAAAACCTAGGATTCAGTGATATCAAGTGGAAGGAATAAAATAGAAAGGGTTACAAGAAAATAAAAGTACATATGTGCTTCTAAGACTATAACCTGATTTAGCAAATTAGAAGTTGTTGTTTCAATGGTTAATTAGACTCATTGTTAAACATTTGTGCCATGCATCTAGTCTGAATTTGTGTATTTTCTAATTCCAGACATTGGATCTTGTTGCTCCTTTGCTAGGCTGAGGAGCCCACTATTATGAAATTTCTAGTCCCCAAGTAAATATGTAGGCCCTTAGTCACCTATCTCCCATCAA